GAATCTACTACTCTCTCACTGACTATAGTTTCTTTTAACAGAAATTCTACAAAGTTATCAAGATTACCCACTTCTTTCTCCTTCAGAGACTACTCTAAATTCTAGCTGGACCAGCAATAACTGGGAAAAAGGAACCTTTAAATTATTTCTCCTTTAGTATATAGTCAAATATATGCCAACCTGTCGGCTCACGCGCTGTAGCCCTAGAAGTGTGACTCAGATTTACCTAACCACAGACAAAAGCGTTACATCTTACAGAACACTGAAGGCTACTGAAATACAAAGAACTCGTTTCTGTTTGTTAACTACTTATTTCTCTTAGTAAACGTTTACCTTTTTGTTGTGTTTTTCTTTTTTCTTTTTCTTTGATTTAGACTTAGGAGAATCTAAACAAAACAAAACCAAACCCTGTAAGTTTAGCATTCTGAAAAAAGAACTTGGTTTAACAGATAAGGCAATATAGAAACATAAAACATAAAAAGAAAATGCTTTAGTTCAGCTATATATGTTAATGCTGGTTGAAACTAACCCTGAGAAAAGCAACACATTAACTTACTGCCACTTACTGGTCTAACACAGAAACTGAAAATACTTGATTTACTCAGTGATTACTTATACCAACATACTATATTAATAGAGACAGTATTTCTCTCTTCTTTCTGCAGCTGTGCTCAGCAGATCACAAGTATCTGCATTATAGCCAGGGATCCTGACTCACAAAGAAGGTAACAAAAAGTAGAGCTGGGGCTGACAAACCACTGAAAATATTATCACTGTTCAAGACAAATGAAAAACTTCTCCTACTTACTCAACTCACCTTCCAACTTGAAGGTTTTTAGTAAATTTTGTAAAGCAGAAACTCACAAGTTCTATAAGCCAATCATAGATTTTAAAGCAAACATTGTGACTGGTATGTGAGGAAGCTGATTTTGAAGCACCAGCTTTGACTACAGGACTCTAAACCTAGAGAGATTGTGAAACATCTCACTAGTCTTCCAACCGACTGCCTTCAAGCTATCAGCTCCGCAGTTTCTTTACAATAAATTCCAAGCAAAAGATAACATTATAGGAATATACCAGAGCACAGCCAGACTCAAAAAGTTAGAAAAGTTTAAGGTAAGGCTGCCCAAGCAATCTTCTTTTTTCCCTGGAGACGTTCAAGGCCAGGTTGGACAAGGCCCTGAGCAACCTGATCTAGTTGGAGATGTCCCTGTTCCTTGCAGGGGGGTTGGACTAGATGACCTTTGAAGGTCCCTTCCAGCCCTAACCATTCTATGATTCTATGATTCTTTTGGTCTAGTAATGACAAATGCAGCACAAGCATGTCAGAAGAAATGATGAAAATGGTAACTCTATCACCACATTCAGTCTCTTGGTAACAATGGATTGGACTAAGTGCCCACAGCGGACAGTATACCTGGCCAGAGGGCTTTTACAAATGTTTGCCAACATCACGAAAGGGATACATTCAAGAATACTTGGGTTCCTTCCAGACTCTGAAAATCAGTGTAGTATGGTGAACAGACACTTGCCCAGTTTTATCTCTTTGCCCACATCTCTTTCAGACTCAGTTTTTATCTCCGACCATCCTAGCCACAGTTCTCGTGACCACAAACCCTAGAACTTCTCTAGACTTCTGCACTGGACTGTTGACTTCCTAGGCTAAGCCAGGCCATTTTTACCTCCTCTTCACTCTGAGTTGCCATCTCTCACCATCTGGCCTCCTCACTGGCTCGATCTATTTCCATACTCGGCCACGCTACCTCCCTAGTTCGAGCACTGATTTGCCTGCTTGTCTCCTGTCTGAGGGGAACCCCCTTCCCCGCCCCACCTAACAAGCTGCAGTCCCAGTCTCTATATCCCAATGTCTCTTTTTCCACAGCAAAGTGTGTCCTTTCTATATTCAAGTTAACTTCATTTTCCATATAACCTATGTTAACAGCAAGGCTGGAGAAGGTGGAGGTGGGGATACAACTCAGACAGCAGAAGACAGTTTCTCCTACTCTCCTCTCCATTTTCCCAGCCACTGCCCAGTGTCTAACAGCCAGAGTTACAACTGCACTCGCTAAATAAGAGAAACACAGATTAAAAAATGCCAGAAGAAATCTCCATTCTGCTATCCCAAAGGAATGTTAACTCCACTCCTGCTATACCTGAGACATCAGACTGGGGCAACCTTCATCATTCAAGGTCTTTAACTGCAGAGGTTAGGCAACCTATTCCACTGTTCTGCTGCTATGACTTATTTTCACTCGATCTAATTCAAATCCCTCCTGCTGCAATTTAAGGTCATTTTTCCTTGCTCTGAAAGTCACAGAAAGATTTTTCACTCCCTCTCCATTGCAGCTGCTACCTACACCTGTATAGATATATATCTGTCTTAGCTCAATTACCTCACATCTTTTTCTTCTCTAGATGGAGTAAACGGAGTTGTTTAAACGTGATCTTGTAGGACTTTTTTGCAAGATCTTCTGCTCTCCCCAGTGAATGGGAAAACTTAGGGAACTTTTAGCTGTGAAGATTTAGCAAATCTCTGAGTGTGCAGACTGACAACTTGGACCTAATTCAGAATTACTTTATCCTCAGATACAAGTTTCTTGACATCCCTCCAAAACAAGAACCAAGCATGTTCACACAGTCAGTGTCTGACAAGACATTTTAATTCTTTTTAGAAATGTTACAGTGTATCACATAGGATAAAATTAATTCAAGAAAAAAGGAAGAGCCCTCCAATCAAAATATAAGTTCATAGATTTGAACATTTTCAGCACATATTGATGTCACATACATTGAATCAAGACATTAAAGTATGAGAACGACTAATATTTCCATTCTAAACTGACTTCAAGAGAAGCGGAACTAAGTCTTTGTTGAGCTGTGGGATACACAATCACAAGTATGAGGTCCTGTGCCAGAGAGCAAAACTTCACTTGACTGTGAAGTTAGAGAGTTTTCATTAGAACTCTATTTCTCCTACAGTTCTGGCTCATACGAGAGTTCTTTGCAATCACAGTAAAAAAAACATAAAAGACATTTCAGTATTTAGCCTAACACATTCTATTAAAAATAGAATGGCAATTTGATCATTTTACCTGCAACGATATCAAATATTTTGATACAGAATAGCAAAGCAATGCAGTCTACATATAAGCAGCAATATGTTCTCCTTGAGGTCAGAAGTTATACTCACAGAAAAAATCTGCACTTGTTCCCAGATAGTATCCTTTTAAAAAAACTACCTCGAGTCCTGTAAGTAAGCAGCAGTTTAGTATGCAGTGTCTTAATCCTGCAATGCTTGCATACATGTTCCCATTGAACTCAGCCATTGGATTTCATAAACTTCATGTAGGTCCTCAAAGTTAAACGCTCAGAACACTACAGTAAGACTAAATCAAAAACCCTAACAACTGGTCTAAACAGAGGCCTGAAGTAGAAAAAAATCTGGATTCATTATACTTCCAAACCACAGAGTTTTAAATACATACAGCATATTGTTACAAAGTAAAATTTCTTTGAATGGCCATTTCTATTTCGAAGTTATTGAACATAAGAACACTGCATATGGTGTGTGAAGAGGTACCTTAACACAACAATATGAAACGGTTACGAAAGAAACACTCTGGACATGCAGAACTGGCATTCTACACTGTTCCTTTTTGGTGGTTTAGCCACATTTAAAAGGAGCTGTAAGTGTTTCAAAGATTCTTAGAAATTCTTCTTCTATCAAAACTGGCAAACCTCACGTGTACGCGTGGAGGTGGCTTACCTCTGCTACTCGAAGAAGATGACCTTGATGATGAGCGTGACGAGGAAGAAGAATTGGATGTAGTGCTAGAAGACGATGTGGATGAAATGGATGATGATCTGCTTCTACTACGTTTTCGTTTCCTTTTTTCTTTTCCTTAGGATAACGCAAGGCAACAATAAAAAGCATGCTAGTAATATGGCCTACAAAAATGACTTAAGCACCACAAACCCCTATTCTGAGGAGGCTGGGTTTTCCACCCACCCCTCTTCCAGCATCCCATGGTTTATCACCATTAGCGAGCGACAACGCTCGCCACTGGGGTCAAACACGGTCACTGAGGTAAAGGACAACACACCCACCCCCACAGCCACCGCAGCAGCTCGGCAATGCCCACCTCGGACCTTCTGCTCCTCTTGTGAAGTTGCGCAGAGCGTCCTACTTTTCTCATCCTTCCTGTTATCCATATCTAGTGAGAGACAACAGAACGTTCAGTAACATCAATTCCAAAATACTTTGGGAGGCGGGGGCGGGGGGAGGGGGGAAGGAGATCAGTGCGGAGACAGAGGAAACCAGCGAGC